TTGAAAATCTTGATATACATATGTTTAACATATGTTTTTTTTTTTTTTTGTAAACTTATATTATCGATAGAAAACTTGGAATTATTAAAGAATGCTAAAGAAGAAAGCTAAAGATATCAAACTTCATTAATCTCACCATTCTATTCCCTTCATCTCAATTTCCAGAAATAAAATCCTCTCGACATCAATCCGTGTGAAACTTTTACGATTTATTTATGTCACAATTCCAGACGTCAATCACGTTTAATCTCAAATTTCCTCGAGAAATCTTCGCTACCTACATCTAATCATTTCATCAATAAAAATCACATTAATAATGTCGAATTTAATATCCCTTAATTTGACGTTCAAAAGACAAAAATTAGAGTTAATCGTAAAATAAAATTTGATTTGAGAAATTGTCGGCTGCGCTGATATTTTCTCAAATTAAATTTTCCCGATCGATACCATCGGTGAAAAACAAATTATTGGAATAGATCGCGAGAGAAAGGCGACATTTCCATTCCTATCTGTCTATTGTCGGGCGCAAGTTTCTGTTAGCACAAATTTTTGTTGGAGGACCAGTCGATGCAATTCCAACGGGTTATCGCCGGTTAAAAGGTCGAAGAAAAAGCTCACCTGAATGGTAACGGGAATCGGTCACGATCGATGCTTGAATGCAAGTCGGTTCCTTCCCATTCCATTGATCCCCGGCCATGCAGTATCTCGTGTGCGGCCCCTCCAGCCTGAAACCTCTTCGACATTGTATATGACATCTGGCTCCAACAGGATAATCCATTGCCCCGGAAGAATGACCTGGACATCTGATCTACAATGAGAGGAATGCCAAAAATACAATGTGCCCCCAGCAGCAGAAATTTTTAAGAACATCGTTCCAATTTGTAACGTGTAAGAGATATTAAAGTGACTGTTACATTTAAATCAAAGTATCAGCAGGATTTATTTATTTCCTGTGATATGTTATTTCCTTATTTATTTCCTGATTTGTTATAATGAATATTAGATATAAATTATTTGATATTGGAGACATATATAGTATTAATATGTAGAATTTGTTTAAAATTTCTTTAGTGTAATATGTCTGTTAAAGTTAAATTAGTGAAAATATGAATAAACATGAAATTTAGAATTTTAAAGAAAATATTCTAGCTAGGAGAAAAAAATTTCCCTGAAAAAAAAAAAATAGGATATTCCTTTGTTTCCTATACTTTGCAATTTTTTTATTTAAATTTTTGAAAACTCTTTAAAAGCAGAATAATAATTTTTTCCTTTTTTTTTTTT